TGCTGGGCCTGCACAAATGTGTTCTTTGATTATTTTCTCTAGCATTTTCCCAGGAATAGAGGTAAAGCTGACTGGTCTAAAGTTACCCGGCTCATTCCTTCTCCCTTTCTTGAAAATGGGCACCACATTGGCCCTTCTCCAGTCCTCAGGGACCTGGCCGGAGCACTACGAGTGCTCGAACAGCTGTGCCAGTGGTTCAGCTATGACACTGGTCAATTCTTTCAGCAGCCATGGATGGAGGTCATCCGGGCCTGCTGACTTGTTCCCATCCAGCTCCTCCAGGAGCTCCTTAACTATTTCAGAACTAACCATAGGCAGACTGGTGCCATGCGGACATCTGTCAATGATCAAGGTGGGGGAATTGGCTTGGTCGGTACATGGAAATACTGAAGTGAAGAACTCACTGAAGAGCTCTGCTTTTTTCCCCGCGTCAACCACCAACTGTCCTGATTTGTCCTGCAGTTGCTCTGGGTCCTATGTTGCTCTGAGCTTTCCTTTTGCCTGCTATATACCTGAAGAAGGACTTTTTATTGTCCTTGATTGTTGAAGCCAGCCTGAGATCAAGCCCCGCCTTGGCCTGTCTAACTGATTCCCTACAATAGTGCGCCAGGAAGATATATTCCTCCTTGGTGGCAACTCCCTGCTTCCATTGCCTATACATCTCTTTCTTTGCCCCAGGGAACTCCTGGAGTTCCCTGTTCAGCCAAGGGTGCTTTTTTGCCCCCTTACCTCCCTTCCTATGTAATTGGATAGACTCCTTTTGAGCCCCAAGGATCACTCTCTTGAGATACCTCCAACCCTCCTGGACCCCCATATGCTCTATGTTCTTGAGTTGCATCCCCTCACTAACTAGCCTTCTAAGCTTGCTAAAGTTGGCCCTTCTGAACTCCAACACCTTAGCCCCACTAGTTACTTTGCCCATCCTTCGCTGGATAATGAACTCGACCAAGTGATGGTCACTATCTCCCAGGCTACCATGAACTCACATGTTCCCCACGAGATCATCCCCTGTTGCTAAGACAAGGTCAAGCAAGGCACTACCCCTGGTGAGACTAGACACCACCTGGGTTAGGTGGAGGTCCTGCATACGGTGTAAGAACATCCGTGAGCGGCTTGTTTTGGCTGTCTGCCCCTCCCAGCAGATAGCTGGGTAGTTTAGATCTCCCATGACCACCGCCTCCCTCGCCTGTGTGGCGTCTGCTAGCTGCCCAGAGAATACATCGTGTAGCTCTTGATCCTGATGAGGAGGCCTGTAGTAGACCCCCACGACCAAGTCCTTTTCCCCTGGCCCCACCTGGATCCTGACCCACAATGCCTTGGTGTTCCCTCCTCCATCCTGCCTTAATAGTGGAATGCTTTCCTATGGCAGAGTTATTTAAGCTGCCTCAACACCTACATAGATGCTGATCTGGCTGACAGGGGCACAAGGGAGTTTCAGTGCTGGGACTGCCTTCCAGCTAGCACCAAACTGAACCACGCTTGTGTCCCAGGCAGCCCCTGCCCATGCTAACATCTAGGGCACACACCCTGAGTTGTATACATCTGCATCTCTATCCCTCTAAGGGAACGGCCATAAGCTTAGAAAGAAGGAAGATGAGTCATGCCTGAAGCTCAGTTACTTGATAGGTTTTCCTTGCTCTAGGGTGACCAGGTAATGGGGAGTCCTGGCTTAAATGTAATCCTGTGGGTCCAGTTAGACCTGGGGCCATGTCAATCTCACCCTGGTGAAGTTGAGCCCCATCCTGCACTCCATACAGTAAAGATGACCTGTTCTTCAGGAGGGCCTTCCTCCTGGGAGGCAGGACAGAGCAGGGACAACAGTTCCACCACCAAAGTGGTGCTGATAATGTTGTGCAGCTTCAAACTGGGCCTTGGTTTCCATGGTCCCTGAGCTGGGTCATCATCTCCCTCCACCTTCTAGGAAAAAGTAGCCATCTTCCAGTTTCTGGGCCTTGGCTCATAAGCTATTTGAAAGTCCAAGTGAGAGAAGGAAAGTGCCTAACAAAGCTGCCTCTGGCCAAATGCATTAGCCTTACAGGAATATTTAAGGATGTTGTGATCTGTAAAGATCTGTACTTTGTTGCATTTCTCTTCAATGCTTTGCCTCCACTACCCAAAAGCTGCTCTGACAGCCAGGATTTTGCATTCCAGGATCTAATAATTTGTTTTTTCCAGACTGAGTTTATAGGAAAGGCAGTGCAGGGATGCAGAATCAGTTCAGGACCTGCTGTTGGGAGAGAACTGCACCTACTGTCAGGCTGACGCAACCATTTCTATTATTAATGGCAAGGTAGCATGGTCTGGGTGGACTAAAACAGGAGCAGAGGTGTAGGCCTAGTGCAGATATTCATAGGCTCATTGGGCTTCTGCAGAAAAGTAGAACTGGTTGTTTTTCTTAGTAAGGTGGTGAAAAGGCTCAGCACCACAACAAAATTGACCCCTGATAAAAGTTGGCAAATCCCAGAAACCTTTGCAGCCCCTTCATATGCTGGAGGAATTTTCCATTTTTTCACCGTCTGTACTTTGGGGGCAGTCCATTTTCAACCTTTCATAAAAGAAATAAAAGAAAACCAGGATATTCAACGGTATTTTGATAAAATGAACATTTTTCTAATTTTGTAAATATACCATGCTGACATAACCTTTCCAGCTGTATGCAGATATGCAGGGGGAAGTGGTCAGGGTCTTTAGAGAAGACTTTGATGTCTCTCAGCCTGGCAAGTAGAAACTGGTCTTGAGTCTCAGGGTGCTAATGAAGTGCTGAAAGATAGTGGTGTTGTTGGTAAGCCTGAAGGGCATAACTAAGTATGCAAAGTGCCTGAATTGCATCTGAAAAGCAGTCCTCCATCCATGCCACAATAGCTGGAATTCAGGCACAGGATCCTCCTGGCTTTTCACCTGACAAGGAAAACCTGCAAAAACAAGGGGTAATGTGGGGAGCAGATTGCCCCAAAACACATTGCCTCTTAGTGCCCAAAAATGTATAGGTCCAGAGTCATGGTCTCCCCAATCCTTGGGCCCAGATGCCAGAGCTGAGCCATTTATCAATTCAATCCTCTTAGGCGTTAACCACACTTTTAGTAGGATTCACAGGGTCTGAGCCACAGGCTTATCCACAAAACAGTACATTGCTCCGGAGTCCAGTAAGGCAGTGGGCACTGGTAATAAACTGTCTGTCCCAGGTTCAAGAGGTGGGTACACTGCATTGACTGAGGAGTCGGTGGGCTGCAATAGCTGCGGGCTTTGTGGGGTGCATATGAGTTACCTGCCTAGGAGTAGGATGGGGCTGCTGAAGGAGACAAAAAGGTAGAAGGAGAGAGACGGGAGGTAAATTCTGGGCAGGGCTGAGAGGAAGAGTCCCCGCCCAGAAGAGAGACAAGATACAGATCAGGGAGAGATGAAACTCCAGAGCCTCAGGAATGGAAATGGAGGGGCTGGAACAAGCCCTTCTATAAAGAGCGAGCTCTGCTGGTCTAAAATGCACTGAGATCCCTTTACAGGAACAGTTCATATGTTCAGTTACACTGGAAAAGCCTTTGAAGTACTGCCCTGGCCTTGCACAGGGACTCCATGCACCTCTGAGTGCTGGGGGTTACTGTGACTCTGGGCTCCTGAGGCAGCCCCACCATGCCAGTCATATTGCCAGAGTCAAGGAGGGTGACTGGAGATATTGTGGCCCCTTTCTGTTGACACATTCTTCATTAATGAGAGGCTGGATGGGAAGAGATCACCTAAGGAGCTCTGACCCCAGCACCCTGGGATTTCTTACCAATGGTGGTGATGAGAAGCTAGCAGAGAGGTACAGACTGAGATATCAAGAGCAAGTGTTGCCATTTGTCAGCGACACACAAAAAGGTGCTTGCCTGTGCAGGCACCTGCAGAGACTTGTGTTTTACACAGAGGTGTATTAATGCCTCATTCACTCTCCAAGTCACCTGGGCAAATGCAGACATTTTTGTTGCACAAGCTTTGATTGAGCGGGGCTCTGGACAAGCATTCCCATCCCAGAGGCTGAGTGCAGAGAGAAATACCCATGATTTCCATGGCATTGTCCTGGAGGACTCTTTTTGCTCAGGGAGGCTTCCAGGTTGGCTGAGAGGTATACAAAGGCTGTGCATCATGAAAGAGCTTCCTGCCACATGGAGTACAGCCCTTGTATACATCTTAGTCTACCTGGAACCTTTCCTGCTTCGGAGCATACATCTCAGTTTACCTGGAAACCACCCCACCTCCAGACCACTTGTAAAGGCACCTACTCCCCAGCTACAAAACTGACCTTTCATGCAGTTGGGATCTGAGGAATTCTTTATCTGATCCCATGCACTACACATCCAGTCATGCATATATGGCATGGCAAATGCACAATTTGGGGGTTTGGGCATAAAATCCCAGTCACGTCATATTCACATGACATTAATGTTTGCAACTTGTTCAGGACCCAGCACTTCCCTTTTGAAGATTTGACGTAAGGGTGAGTTTGCTGATTTCTTACCTGAACAGATGACACTGGCATCCTCAGCATGATTGCAGTCACTCTCTTCCCATCCCTCGTGGCTGCATTCCGAGAGAGCAGACTCATTGCCATGACACGCAGTCTCATCCATCCAAATCTTTCCAGACCCTTCTCCAAAATGAGCCCATTGAAGGGCACTGACAGCAGATCCACATCCCAGCTGCCTACAAACAACCGCAGCATCTCTCATGTCCCACTCATCATCACACACTGTCCCCCACTCATCCTGGTGTTTAATCTCCACTGTCCCAGCACAGGGGCTGCCTCCGTTCTCCAGCCGTAGCTCATCGGCACCTGCAAAAACCGAGAAGGAGCAGGGTTACAGAGAGCCCGGAGCCCCAGCACTAGTGTTGATCTGCCCTTCTGGCCTGGGCAGCTTCACACAAGGACCCTGGGGTCGGACCCCTGCTCTCCGCTCAGCCCTGGTGGGGGAGGCGGGTGCACCTGTACACGATATTGGTGTAGCAGCCTTTAAAAAACGGACGCACCTGAACAGAAGGGGAAGAGCTGCCTGGCAGAGACAGAGTTTGTCCCCGAGGGGACACTGTAGGCTCTGAGGGCAAGTGAAGCTATTTTGGAAGCAGCCCTGTTGGAAGTGGGAGGGGTGATGCAAGCCCAGCACAGTTTTGAAAGAGAGCCATTAGCAAAAGCCTGAGAAGGGCCCTGAGCTGGGATTGGCTGAGAGGCTTGGATAAAAGGGGGAGCAGTTTTTCCCGCGTGGGGAACAAGAGAGAGAGAGGGGGCTGAGGGACAGGCCGGAGACCAGGTGGAGAGTCTCAGCGCAGTGGTCCCTCAGAGAGCCCCTGAGAGAGGCCTGCAGGAGCAGAGTGGAGAAGCTGCGCGGCAGGAGCAGGCAGGGACCACTGGTGTGGAGAATCCAAGTCTGGAGAGACCTGACTACAGCCAGTGTGGCTGGGTGAACACAGCAGAGCCGGGGTGGGGACTGCCGGAGTCTGCTCTAGTTTCCCTGAGGGGTGAGGGGCCCCAGGGGCAGGCCAATCCCAGGGAGTCGCTGCGTTTGCCGGGGCTGTGAGGCTGTGTGGGGCAGGAGGGTTGCTACAGCCTGCAGCCCAGACACTGCTCACAGTAGAACCAGGGAAGGGGGACAAAGGCAGGGGAAGGCTGTCTTGCAGGAACTGCAGAGGAGCCGCTGCTTGCTGCCCAGAGACCCTAGGAGCATGGAAACGGGCACCAGTGCCAGGGAGCGGCCACAGACCACGTGCAGGGACACAGACAGTCGCACTCCCTGAGATACCCTGCCAGGGGCAGTGCACATGAGATCCCCAGTACACCGTGTGCAAGTGAGAGACTGTGTAAAGAAGTTCTTGAGGATTTATTAGTCAGTATATCCATGTTCTCATTTAATGATTATTTGTTATGTTGTAAATAATTAAATCCTGTAAATAGTTTGGAATTGTCTGTGAGGGTGCTTGATTGTAAGGGGAGGCTCTCTGCTCTGGGACTCTGCAGCAGCTTCCCAGGGGGGCTGGGCAGGGCTACTGGCTACCAGGTACCCCAGAATCCCATTATTCAGGTGAGGGTGCATGTAGTGTCGTGCCCAGGGTTACATTGGCTTTTTCTAGCTAAAGATATTATTTGGGTTTATTTGACTCTCACAATGTACTATAACAATGCCCATTACTATTTTGCACCAAATGTGTTTAGCACTCATAATTGGTTAATGTGCTATTATTTGTGGAAAACGCTGGAGGGCACCTCATAACCATTTTACCCTCCTGACCTTCTACTATACAATTACAGCAGGGAGCAGTTTAGGAATGTAATTTGTGATTGGCCTAGTTTCTTGAGGGGCAGGAGCTGTGTTAGACTCCTCCCATCACCTCAATTTTCTGCCATTCGGCAATGCACTTCTGGGTGCTCTCCCCTAGAAATGTACTGGCTATGTCAGATTTGGGGACATGGGGTGAGCCTGGTTAGCATTTGGTTGCAGCTCCATAAGTACTGCCCCAGCACAGAGGCCAGCATACGTCCCCACGTCCAGCCATCGGGATGTGGAGGGCTTGGACCCCATCGCCCATGTGTGGCGTTCCCTCACTGGCACACATTTTCTGCTGATCAGCAAAGCATGTTCAGGTGCTCTCCCCAAGAAATGTACTGGCTTGTCAATGTTGAGGCATGGCAGCAATTTTATAACAGTCACTTTGGGGGGAGGGGGTGTTTTTGGTTTTTTTTAACTTGTCTGTCCAAGCCGGGTCATGGTCCTTTTTAGCATTCATCTCTGACATAGGAATGGTGTTTGCCTTCCTCATTAACATGTTAGAATATGTTTTAGAATATATTATATCAGTACTATGGTATTCTTGTGCTAAGCTGCCATTTTAAAATGTACTTCTGCTGAACCAGATGGGGCAACTGACAACTGACGCCCAGGAAAAAGCCAACCTATTAAATAGGTACTTTGCGTCGGTCTTTCATCAGTCCCATGGGACGCCCATGCCCGCTACGGGACAGGGAAGTCCGGGTGAGGGTGATCCCCTGCCCTCCATTAATGCTGACTTTCTGAAGGAACATCTTGAGAAGCTGGATACCTTCAAGTCAGCCGGCCCTGACAATCTTCACCCCAGGGTACTCAAAGAGCTGGTAAGCATCATAGCCCAGCCTCTAGCACGGATCTTTGAAAACTCTTGGTGCTCTGGTGTAGTGCCCGAAGACTGGAAGAAGGCCAATGTGGTGCCTATCTTCAAGAAAGGGAGGAAAGTGGATCCGGCTAACTATAGGCCCATCAGCCTGACTTCTATCCCGGGGAAGATCTTAGAAAAGTTTATCAAAGAGGCCATCCTTAATGGACTGGCCGACGCCAACATCTTAAGGGATAGCCAGCACGGGTTTGTTGCGGGTAGGTCTTGCTTGACCAATCTCATTTCCTTCTACGACCAGGTGACCTATCACCTGGACAAGGGAGAAGAGATTGATGTCATATATCTTGACTTCAAAAAAGCCTTCGATCTGGTGTCCCATGATCGCCTCTTGGAGAAACTGGCCAATTGTCGCCTTGGGTCCTCCACGATCCACTGGCTGGAAAATTGGCTCCGGGGTCGGACCCAGAGGGTAGTAATCGATGGAAGTCACTCATCGTGGTGTCCTGTGACCAGTGGGGTCCCCCAAGGCTCTGTCCTTGGACCCATACTGTTCAACATCTTCATTAATGATGTGGACACTGGAGTCAGAAGCGATCAGAACTGGCCAAGTTCGCCGATGACACCAACCTCTGGGGCAAAGCATCCACACCAGAAGACAGGCAGGTTATCCAGGCTGACCTGGACAGGCTCAGCAAGTGGGCGGACGAGAATCTGATGGTGTTCAACGCCAATAAATGCAAGGTGCTCCACCTTGGGGAAAAAAACCCGCAGCATCCTTATAGGCTCGGCAGTGCTATGTTGGCTAGCACTATGGAAGAAAGAGACTTGGGGGTCATCATTGACCACAAGATGAACATGAGCCTGCAATGCGATGCGGCGGCTAGTAAAGCGACCAAAACGCTGGCTTGCATCCATAGATGCTTCTCAAGCAAATCCCGGGACGTCATTCTCCCCCTGTACTCGGCCTTAGTGAGGCCGCAGCTGGAGTACTGTGTCCAGTTTTGGGCTCCACAATTCAAAAAGGATGTGGAGAAGCTTGAGAGAGTCCAGAGAAGAGCCACGCGCATGATCAGAGGTCAGGGAAGCAGACCCTACGATGACAGGCTGAGAGCCCTGGGGCTCTTTAGCCTGAAAAAGCGCAGGCTCAGGGGTGATCTGATGGCCACCTACAAGTTTATCAGGGGTGACCACCAGCATCTGGGGGAACGTTTGTTCACCAGAGCGCCCCAAGGGATGACGACTAGGTCGAATGGTCATAAACTACTACAAGACTGTTTCAGGCTGGACATAAGGAAGAATTTCTTTACTGTCTGAGCCCCCAAGGTCTGGAACAGCCTGCCACTGGAGGTGGTTCAAGCGCCTACATTGAACACCTTCAAGAGCAAACTGGATGCTTATCTTGCTGGGATCCTATGACCCCAGCTGACTTCCTGCCCTTTGGGCGGGGGGCTGGACACGATGATCTTCCGAGGTCCCTTCCAGCCGAAATCTATGAAAGTCTGCCTCTTGGAAGATAAAAGGGCAGTGAAGGCCGAGTCCGGATGGACGCCTTAACCAGTAACGCCAGCCTACCCGCACGTTGAGAGAAGTGATGCCAGCACCCCGCTTGGCTGAACATCACCTTGAAGAAGCCTGTGACTGGCCACCGCAGCGTGACTCCAGGTGCTGCGGATAGGTGACTTTGTGTGGATGGGGTGAATGAGTAAGAGTGATTTTTACATAAGCTGCTAAGTTTGCCTCAGTTATCCATATACTATGCAATAAACCTTGGTTTGCCGAACCCATGCATTGGTCATTTGTCCAACAAACATAACAACACTCAGGGGTGCCAGCTTTGCCTCAGGGAATCATTAGCTTTGCAGCCATCATGGGAACACAAGGGAAAACTATGGAAACACCTAAGACAGCTCAACTACTGCTCTATTTGGCTCACTGTTGTCTGTTTCTGTATGTCACAGACCTGTCTTCTCAGCCAGGCCCATCTCCAGGCAACCCCACCACCCAAAAGGGAGACAAAGCAATGACCAGATTCTTTTGATTGAGCAAAGATTTTTTTTTTTTTCGTCATACAACATCATCAACACATCCTCGGAGAGTTAAATTGCAAACTGGCTAGGTTTTTCTTTTGTCCTTTCACAGATCACTCTGTCCTCACCAGGCAGCCACAGAAGCCAGCCCCAGCCTGTCTCAAGTCTTGGGCCCAAGACTCACTGAAAAGTTCACCCCGTGTTTCACAAATATAGTGCAGCATGTCTTCTGGCTCTACCTCCAGCCTGTAGTTCAGTGGCTTCCACTGGGCTTTCAGGCACCCCAAGGCACGTTTGACAGTCATGCGGCATTTGCTTACGTGGTAGCTGAAGGTCTGTTTTGGGGGGTCAGTCACTTGCCCTCCATCTGGCTTCATGAGCCAGGGCAGGAGTGGGTAAGTTGTGTCAGTAATTATGAGGAGTGGCACTGAAACACCCCTGATGACAAACTCCTCCATTCCTGGGGCCCTTCATCATCCCAGGCAGTGGTGAGTGTTGAAAGACACATGCATCAGGGTTGCTTCCTGCCCATGCTTTGTAAATGTTAGTCAGTCTTCCACGGTGATCCACTACAGCTTAGAGAATGACTGAAAGTTATCCCTTCCTGTTAAATGACCAGTTGTTCTGGCACGGTGACAGGATGGGAATGTGTGTACTGGCCAGTGCTCCCACACACTTTGGGAAACCCATCTTGAATCCTTCCACCGCCTCCCCAGGTTTACTGAGGCAGTTGAATTTGTTTGCTTCCAGCTCCTGCAGCAGCAAGCAGACCTCGCTTATCACCACCCCTGCTGTGCTGGGAGCCATGCCAAACTGATTTGCCACCTGGCACCAGCTTATTGGATTGGCCAGTTTCATAGCAGCCATGGCACTATGCTTTTCTGGGGCAATGGGTTTCTGCATGACAGTTGTCTGGCATGCAATATGCAGTGACAGCATACTAACTGGAATAAAGTGTCCCTGCTCGTGCAAAACGTCTCCAGCCACTGTTGATCTACCCAAGTCAACATAACTATGTGTGCCCACCAGTCAGAGCTGCTTTCATGTGCCCAGATCTGGTGATTCTTTCTATTAAGTTATGGCTAAAATGTTGCTATAGTCTCATGACCCCTAAAGACATCTTCTTCAAAAGACTTCAGCACCTTGTACAGTTCTTTTATCAACCTGTGTGATGAGGCAGACATCCAAATGTAGTTTGCCAGGAGTTTGAACAGATGCCAGCCCAGTTCAGTAAACATGATAGTTTTCTCTTCCTGAAGCAGAGCTCTACAATGTGACTCTTGTAGGGCCGTAAATATTATCCTGTTCTTTTTGGTTGCACCGTTAGGAATGGAGGAAGCCATACTCTATATTGGACAAGGAGTGCACAGAGACAATTGTTGTGGCTGTTGCTGGACCCCAGGCGCATTTCATTTGCTCCCAGACACATTTCACTTACTCTTTGCACCAAAGCATACCCTCCTCCAGCCAGCCCTGGGGGTGTTGGGGACCCCTTGCTCAAAGTGAGTGGCGTGTGTTCACCATCCAATTTTAGGGGAGCCCAATGCAACATGCTAGGGTTCTCTCCCCAGATTTCTAACTGTCTGACTGTACAGAAGGTCTTGCGGAGCAGGCTTGCAGGAACAGGATGGGGGACATGAAAGTATCTGGGAACCTAGAGCTGAAACGGCATGGGGAGTGGGGCCATTCCTGGGTTGAGACAGTGCTGAGGAAACAGGATTATGCTCCACTTGGCCGCTCAGTATTAGGGGGAGCTGTAATGCTAATGCAGGAACTGCCTGAGAGACCCTGGCATCACCCTGAAACTAGCACCACAGCAAGGCTAACAGACAAGGCATGAAGCCCCTAGGGTTCACCCCCATTGGCAAGCCCATTGCCCTGAGTGGTGCTGAGGGGTGGCAAAGCTTTCAGGCCAGCACTGCCACAGGCAGATTCCCAAACAGCCAACACTGTAGGGACCCCATGTGATATCCTACAGTGGTGAGGGAGCAAAAGTGCACAGCGTTGACAGAACCCCATTTTTGTGCTTTCAAAGAGGTGCTTGCAAACAGGTTGGGGTGCAGGAAAGGCAAGAAAGTCTCGACTTTGTATTGGCAAGGGTTTGTTGGACAGTCAGGGCCAGGTGCACCCATAGGGGTGGCTACCTTTGCCTTCCATGTCTTCGGGACTATGGGGGTGGCTAGGAGAGTCCCAAGGTCCAAGGAGGAGAGAAAACCCTGTTGTGGGGTCCTGGGAAAAGGAAGCCCCAGCCAGCAACATGACAAGGAGGGAAAACCCTGGGTTGCACGCCCATGGGTAAGACCGGTGTGCTGGATGGGCCAGAGATGTGCCAAAGTGTGCAGGGCCAGTACTGTCATGGGCTACTTGCTTGATGGGCTACAGTTTCAAGGTCATCTAAGACACTTGTGGGAGCACTGTGGGAACCCTGGGTTGTTCAAAACATAGGATGCATGGTAGAAAGACCTCAGGGAAAGCGGGGAGAAGTTGCAGGTTATTGCCCGAGCTAGGGCTGGCTTCAGATTACTGAAGCTGTTAGTACTGTACATGTACTAACAGAAAATGGTTTCAGTAAAAAAATAAAAAACAAATAATTAACCTGATACAGGTGACATGATCTGCCTGATCTGTAGGCAGAACAATTTTGATTCTGTCCACCTGCTGTGGAAAGGCATGCATTACACCAGAATGCTAGCAACCAAATTAAAATGTACATGGATTTCACAGTGAATCCAAGTGACACCTGGTGGACAAATCATGTCAGAACTGGGAAAATGGTGCTTTTAGCTTCATGTAAGAATACAGGTGTCAAAGATATCATGATAAAATTAAACCCGGTGAAACAGTTAGCCACTGTGAAACTAAAACATGTTGGAGGTGGTCTAACTTGCCACAATCAATTGAAACATACCATGGTTAAAAAAAAAAAAAAAATCAATGTGCATTTTCACACACAAGTAACCTAGTGAAACGGCAGTTTTTGGTGCTGTTTCGTAACATACGTGTAAACCATTAACATGTAAAAGGGCCCAGTGACCTGAGCATTGTCCCTGATGCGTGATTCATAGCACCTGTGCCTGCAGAGACTCCTGCTGCCCCTGGCCAGCCCCAGCCCCTTCATCCTCCCACCCTCCTCTCATCACTAGGGATCCTGGTTTGCTCTGATAAAATCATCTCCAATTTTCAGATTTAAAAAAAATAACCCAAACCCCACATTTTTCCATGATTAAAAGGAAACACCATGAATATATATATAGATATAGGTGTTTCAAACCAAATATGCTTGTTCAAAAAATTGTCAGCGAGGCTGACTTTCTTTTGGAATATTACAAACAGTTGTGAAGCAAAACCATGGCCAGGCACCCATTATGAGCTCAGACACTCCAAAGCCTAGAAGTTTGTCCTGCAAAGAGCTATCAGCGTATTTCTTTGAGAAAACTACCTGCATCCCAGATGTCTTCTCAGGGCACCAGAGAACCACTCAAGGGACAAAAGTCTGATAATGTGGCATCTTCCCTCTGCAAATGTGATCTTGTCACACATCAGGAAATCAGAGATGCAATATGTGCCATTTCTGCCATGCTGACTGTTTCGCTTAGTGCTCAGGGTAGTTAGTTGCTAATAGTAAAGATCGCCCCCCTGTTCTCCTGTGATCTCTTGGGACTAAAACTCCACAGGTAAGTAATAGGAAGAATAATCAAAACACAAATACAAAATCGATCACACTTTGCTGGATGGCAGCATTATGGAGAAGGATCTGGGAGTCTACTAGATCACAGACTCAGTATGAGCCTGCAGTAGAATGCTGCCACACAAAAGATAAATACGATTTACAGAAGCATTACGTGTAAGATACATGGGGTGATAGTGCCTCTCTTGGTGATCTCCAGCTGCCAGAATGTCCTAACATATTAGAGACAGTCCAAAAGCAGGCAAGAAAGATGATGAAAGCCTTGGAAAGCAAGTCGTAAGAGGAGAGGCTTAAGAAGTTATGCAAGTTCAGCTTGTGGAAAAGACACTTAAAGGCCCTTAATAGGGGACATGATAGCAGTCTTCAAATACTTGAAAGGGTGCCATAAAGAAAAGGGAAAACACCTTTTTTCTCTTGCTACAGAGAGTAGGACATTGGCCAATAGCTCAAAGTAAGTATGTTTAAATTGGCTACCAGGGAAATCTTCACTGTTAGGACAGTGAGACAGTGGAACAGACTCCCTAGGGAAGTTGTGTAAGTTGTGGATCACTGGAGGTGATCAAGCGGATGGACAGCCAGTGGTCAGCAATTATTTAGGAGTAGCTATGTGTATTGAGGTGCATGGTTGAGGGGCTGAAGGCCAGCTGCAGGGGGTTACGAAGAGGAGCCTGCCTTCCTAGGAGCCCTGGGTCAGCTGACAGGAATGATTGACTGGTCCTAGGGGAAGTTAAAAGCTCTCAGGGAGGGTAGCAAAGTGGGGAGGAGGCTGGTGTGCTGAGGGAAAAGCACTAAGCGTGTGTTGCCTCTCTCCCATGGTCTGAAGAAAGATCAGACATTTTGCTTTTATTTGTTTATGTTGTTCCTTGCCTCACTTGTTGGGGGACAATTTTTTCCCCTGAAATATAAATGGATTGAAACTGAGAACAGTCTGGACTTTATGAACAGTCTCCTGGATAGGGCTAAAAAGAGGAGCAACCTGCTTTGCAATAGCAATGTCTTACCATGAGTATTCAATGTGCTTCTAGGCTTTGCTGGTTGCTATACAGGGTTTGGAGGGAATTCTACCTCCCACCCCCCACACCCTACTAGTGCGTCCACATCTGCTGGATGAAGGGAGGAGGGGGTGATTTCAGCCTTCCTCAGAAACATTAGGTGTTGGCTGTAGCCACAAGGAGAGGCTTTTCATTGGGGTGTGCCCATGCTCCTGCTCGGAGTTAACCTTGGAGGTTCCTATGTAAAGGGTCTTGCCCTTCTGATCAGGATCAACCTGATCACCATATTTGGGGTCAGGATAGAATTTTACCCCATGGTCATGTTAGTATAGACTGTGTGGCTTTTTGCCTTCCTCTGTAGTGGAGGTCATGGTGCTCTACCTGGGATCTCTTGAGTGTTTATCAACAACCTTTTACAGAAGTGGGATGTTGACTGGGATCCAAGGACCTCAGAAACTGCCAGGAATGAGCTGGAAGTTGGCCTAACATCAGCAGTGGAACAGGATATCTTGAAATAAGGTGAACTCATGATAGTCCTACAGAATGCCCAGAAAGGCAGAACCCAGACATCCCCCCATAACCAGTGTCCAGGGAAAGAATCACATTCTGCTGAGAGCTGATGAAC